GTAATTTTCATGCAGTCAGACATATTAACTGAACCTGTGCCTCCCAGTGTTATTTGCAGGCCAACATTAACAAATAAGATTATGTTAATTTTCTGTTGTCACCCACAAATCTATTTAAAGAACAAAACAACCATCCCCCAAAACTCTAGCATAATATCATTCACGTTCAGCTACTTTTATCCTACTCTCTAAGCCACTCCAAATCACTGTCAGTATCTTTCTGAATTCTCTGTGCTGAGAGTAGCAAAGCTTTTACAGTTCAGAATGGCAAGACTGACTCCATAAAAGATTAATTACTTGAAAAGCAGGTCATTTATTAAAAGATCTTTTAAAAGTTTAATTTCTTAAAAAGCAAAACTGTCTACCTACCTTCGCATCTCATCTGAAAGCATTTGCAGACACAGCTGCTCTTCAGATTTCAGCCCTGTTCTTTTTTTTCTCCTTCATTTTTTAAGATATGAATAGCAGGTATTTATTGAAACAGTACTATGCTCCACCAAGAGTCTTGTGCTTCCACACACAGATTTATCCCATCTCCCAGATGAACACACAGACACCCTTTCCCACACGCAGGGTTGAGGCGTCAGACCCTTAGCTCCTGGGCCGGATGAGACAGCAACTGTGGGACTTTAGATTCCTAACCTACTCTTCTCTTTACCACAGCTGGAAGTCTCCTTCAACGGCCAGTGAGGACAGACTTTGTCTCACCTGGATCTTCCACTGTCCTCTTGTTTTAAAGCACCCTTTTTAGGCAGTGCTCTTCGGCCAGCTGTGGGGGAACTGAGCAGTCATCACAAGTGTTCTGGATGCCATGGATATAAGACACACAGGTGACATGATACTAAATGGCAGAAGTCAAAATGGTAACTGCTGCTTGGATAGAAGACCTGTGTTACTCTTTTATCTGGAAATTGTGCCACCTTTGCACATTCTGGTCCTCAGGCCAGCATTTTGTATAGAGCTAAAGAAGGAGCAAGGGTATGCATTAAGTGTGATACAGCACAGAAAGAAAAAAGGGCAAATTTGGCCCTGAAGGTGGGTATTTCAAGGTATGTTTGACATCTTGTTCTTCATGAGTGTTAACAATCACTAATTCCTGAAGAACCACCTCTTGCTGTTTTGTCTTGCCTGCAAATAGCATGGCACAGTGGAAAAAATTAAAAAATAGACAACTATCGGTTCAGGACAGGACAGCTCAACAGCAGCCACAGAGTTACTCTCTCAGAAACAGGCTGCCACAAATGTGGGGGTTGTAAAGCAGGGGAAAATGTGGGAAAGTTGCTATGGGATTCAGGGGCATTAACGTAACTGCTTAAGAGGCAACGCAAGGAGTAGATGATGACCTTGGTTATACACTTCACAAAAGGGAAAATGAAAACGCCAGACAAGACAAGGAACGAACATGCAAAAAGGAAGAATGGAAACTGGGAAAACTCAGAAAAGTTCAGACACCAAGAAGGTGGAAAAGACTTGCAGTGCCAAAAGCAGAAAACAACAGCACAGATAAGAGCACTCTCTTTCTCTTTCCATAAGATCATAATGAAAATTACTTTACATTTAGAAGAATGACATTTAAGAGACTAGTTTTTGTTTTCCATGAAAACAAACAAACAAAAAAAATAAAAGTAACCACTTAGCCACTTGTTATTACTCAGTTTTGATGGGCAGCCTCTTAAGTGATCAAATATCCTATATGCCTGAAAGCTGTTCACACCTACCAGGGTAAAGCTAATGGTGTGGTGTAGGTCTCCACCTGACTGCACTTGACCCAAATGGACAACATCCAAGTATTTTACAACAACAAACTCTAACAAACAGTGGGACAAAGCTATTGGTCAGCAATTGAGCTTCCAGTGAGAAAAATAAAAGGTGTTAATGAGTTAATACTTCTGACTAAAATGGGTTTATTTAGAGCTTCACTTAACAGATACCACCATCAGGAGATAAACAGTCCTTACACTGAACAGAAATTTTAATAGCCTTTCCCATTAAGCTATGGGTGATATATATTTCAAAGGGCAGATTATTTGAGTCTTTCTGCTGACAGCAAGGTATGTCAGATGAATTCAGAATATCAGTAAACACCTAAGCTTTGGTAACAAGCATTTTAATATAGAGTTATATTACAATTTAGGACAAAACACCTTGACCAATTTATTCTCTTGTACAGCACAAACAGACCCTACCCTATATCTACATTTATAATGATTGCCAAAATAAGCAATAGACCCTTACAAAGCTCCAGATGCTCTTAACATTCTAAGCCTAATGTGCTCAGCTACTGGTATGGCACCATTAATCACACAAAACATGAGTTTTACAGCCGTGGAAAACGGGCACCTTCCAAATTCACTGGTTTTACTACTCTGCTTAATAAAAAGTTTCTTATAAGTGAGCTCTGAATATAACATACTAAACGTTACCATCCCATGATCAATAGGTAGCAGGAAGATTGGTTTTAATGTTTAAGTTCCTTTCCTGTTCTCCTGCAGACTGAAATTATTCAGCTCTGTACTGCAGAGCTCCATTAAGCACTTTGTTTTTCATTGAATGGCTGGAATCAAATGCGTATGGCCTCTGTGGATGGATAAACTGCTGTAAAAAGAGATAAGTCAGCAATACTGATTGGCTCTGTTGTCTGAGCGTGTCTTTTGATTTTTGAATTTCTGCCAAAAGCATCATCATTCTGTCTTTACCCTTCAAAAGCCTTTGGTCACTCAGATGGTGCATACATTCGCAGCACAGTAATCCCTTGCAGAAACAGAATTCATGAAGAAGCAAATTTCTGTACTTGTATTTCTGGAATGTAAATTTGTGGCACAGATCCTGTATCTCTCACCTTTCACAACGTTGTTACTATGTATTATGAATTGATTAAAAGAGCAGTTTTACTTTGCTGCCCAGCTCCTTCACTCAGAGAAATGGTTTGTCTTTGTGCAAAGCTGTACATAGATTTCAAAGTGTACTTTGTCACATAAGTTTCCTTTTCCTTTCTCTTCCCAGCAAGTCAAAATAACAGAACCACCATAAACCTCTGTGATACTTTCTTTTGTGCATGTGTGACCGTGAATTTACACCAACTACCGAAAACATACTGCATTTTTCCTCACTTCTTCACTGGACTGCCAGTGATGGGCTCAGGACTGGCTTCCACAGGACGCCACAGACTTGCATCTCCCTCAAGAGCTGCTGCTCCAACAGGAGCTGTTTAACCATGGCTGCTTGCTGTGCACTTTGCACCTGAGTAAATGGCAGCAGGAACAAGACCAGGAAGGGTCCCTGATGAGGTGTTTGAGCTGTATACAACTCTGCAAATTCAACATTTGGCACTCAGGAATCTCCTCAGGCAGAGACAAACGATACACCCTCTCAACACATCTGCAAAGGCAAAATGGTTATTCTCATTTAAAAATAAAACAAGATCCGACAACAACCATGTGGCTTTTATGCAAACACACAGGTCACAGCAAGACTATAAATAAATAAATTGTATCTGCATAAACTGTAATAAAGTGACAAATGAAGGAAAGTGTTATTTACTTGTTCAAAGCCTTGGGGACATTTTGCAATATTGTGACTTCTATTACTGCAACCTCACCGGAGTTGCAGGTTCAGCTGACTGTGAAGGTCTGGGTCCTCTAAAATCTTGTTCATGTGCATGTTCTGTGACAAAGGCGCTGCTCAAGATCTCAGGCAAGGAAATGCTATCTAAGAGATAGCTCATGAGCCTAAAACCCTTGTGGCATTAAAAGGAAACAAATTTCATTTCTCAAGAGCCTACGGCTTCCTAACAAACCTTAGGAAACAAGTTCAGAATACTAGCATATGCTGAAATCCATTTTCTAGTTATAAAGCCTTCTTTATTAATGTTTTTGGTTGACAACAGTTGAGATGGCATGTTTATAATCATGCTCAAAACACTTGAAAGAGAACAATGTGAGTGCATTTTTATTTCGGTATTAACTTCTTTATTTCATTGCTGTACAGCTGCATTACACTTGGCTTTAATCCCTTAAGCATTATTTTCCTTGGCAAAATAATCACTGAACTGAGTAGAACTTACTATTGGAAAAATATGCTTGAAAAACCAGTGTGATGTCAATGCCAACTGAAACCCATGAAGCTTAAAATGTCACAAATGTAACTGTAGCTGAAACACATACCTCCTCTTTTTTTTTTTTTGACCGAACTAGGAAAGTTGTTAAGTTTAAGGTTGTGAAGCCAACTGTAAAAATCACAGAGTAGCCTCCTGATACTGAATGCGTGCTTTTTTTCCCCCTACATAAACAATAATTTTAAAAACAATTATATAAAACTTGATGTAGGATAATTTCATATGCAACAAATGACCACATGCCTTGGCTTCTAGGCTCACCTGCATTAACTGTGGCTATCAATAAGAAGTTGGGCTACAGGTTTCTTAGAGAAAAGATAGAACCCGACTTTGTAAAACATCTTTAATATTCAAATATGTAAATAAGCACTACTGAAGAATAATTCAGAAGACTGTGGTGATTCATTATGAACAGATGCCATAAACGGGAACAGTAACATTGCTAGGTAAGAAAGAAGCAAGCTATTTTAGGAGTCTGGAAAATCTCTTCTAGTTCTTCTGACAGATCATGCTGCTATAGTTACTTTATAAAAAATTATATTCTGAAAAGCACTTTAGTAAAAGAAACCTTTTACTGGAACTATTATTTAACCAAGACCTTCTACAGCACTAAAACACACTCCAGTTGAGTTCCCGATATAGTTTAAAAAATGGGAGGGGTAAAAAAAAGAACAAAAAACCTACCATACCTGCACCAGGAGCTATTTATTAGCATAACACTCTTCCTTTTTAAAGATTTCATAACAACTGAAGTATATACAAAGTCTTACAGCATTTACACAATAAAAAAAGTTTCCTATTAGCTGATGAAGTGTAAGGTAGTGCTGCAATTTACTTCAAAGCATGTATACAATAATAATGAAGCAGACCACTGTACTTTCAACTTCTGGGAAGACACAGATTATCAAAAGATTTGTAACAGGTTGACCTGCAGCACTAACCATCATAAGGAGAATTAAAATTTTAAAAAAGTAAAAGAAAATAAATGCTACGTACTGTCATGTTTCTACACTTTCCTAGAGCTGTAACAATTTTTCACAGCCTTAGATATAACATATGCAAGACAACATAATCACAATTTCTCAGATATAGTTCAGCTACTGAGTGTATTTACTTCTGAACAGGAGGCGTTATATTGATATGGCTGTGTGTTTCCATTTTTTTTCATTAACTGTTCAAATAGGTCTACAAAAATTTTTAAAGACAGCATGGAGTTTGTTGCCATGATGCGTTTGACTAAGAAAGGCATTCAATATCAGCTATAGGATCTAATAATTCCTGTCAAAAGTTTAAGACCAGGAATCTTCGATGAAAAACCAAACCCACAAAATCCCTCACCCACAATGTTTCCATCTGTTGACTCCAACCTTCTTTAAGCTTTTCCAACAGGGTAACACAGAACCATTAAAATGCTTATACCAACCCAAACACAGGAGTCATTTAGTTTACGAGAGGTCAAGTAGATTCACTAGACTACTTCTGCTGTAAAATTGAGGGAACTTACCTAGAAAAAAGAAACTTTTACTGAACAGTCCCTTACTACAAGTTGGGATATACAGTTTAACAATGATACATAATTTAAGAATGCAACATTCTTTGCTTTTTAGGAACAGTTTTACATATGCCAATAATGTACTTTCTACAAGAGATAAGGCTGCTTTGCCTATCGTCATATGCCTAAACCTCCTATTTTGGCCAATTTTGCTTTTCTTCCCTCCAAAGGGATTCTGTTTCAACTTAGAAGCTAATAACGTCTGTTGACAATATCTGTATTAAGACAAAAAGTGACATATAAAATCCACACAGAACTACATAAATACCAAAGAAGTCATATAACCTTTCCATGTAAACACTTTGATTATACTGAAGCCCTAATTAGATTCTCGTCTTAAACTTTTGGCAGATAATGTGTATGCTCAGCCAGGCTTTGTAGTTAGTTATTGTTCAAGTGGAAGCCAGGTCAGCTCACATGTTGACAGGCATGCAACTTGGAAACATTGCACAACAAGCAACACAAAGAGATTTGAGAAGTGTACAAGACTTCAAGTAGACTTCACAACCCTTCACAACTGAATATTCACAGACAAAGATACAGTCCTTGCTTTTTCTACGGTGGATTTTCTCTCACACATGGGATACTTTCTGTGACTCTCTAGCTTGCTTGATGCTATATAACCACTTGATGATTCTGGCATTCCTTTCAATGGCAGAAATGCCATATGGCACACGGTCATTGGCACTGTCATCGTTTCTAAGGTCACTGTTGCTGTCCTGAGACTGTTCACAGTCTGAGCTAATCATGCTTGCACTGCGAAAGTTGAGAGATATAATATCAGAGTTAGCCCTTGCAAAGTTTTCCATCCCGAGGTTTTCAAGCTCTTCAGGATCCAGTCCACAGTAGTTAAAGAACCGCTCAACATCTGCATCGACACGAAAGTATCTGTCGCTTAAGTCTGATTTTGATCGCTGTAGGGAGGGTCTTCTACTAACTCCACATCCAGACTCAACTGCCTCAATCTCTGGGGATTTCAGGGTGGCAATGGCAGCGATTTTGGGCTTTGGAGGCAGGGGTGGGGCTGAACTACTGCAGGGTATTGCTTTTAAGGGCTTTGCACTAGTTACTTTCCTAATGTCTGAGGAGCTGTGAGAGACGTGCAAGAAAGTCTCTGCTGACTGATCTAGGAGCCTTCTGCTGATGTTAGAGCTGCTCTCCTGTGGGCTGCTGCGGCCCTGCGTGGGGTAAACCTTCAAAGATTCAGCAAATGAGTGTCGGTTCAGCTCTGTTGAATCAGCTCTGTGGGGCGGCCAATTTCGAGGACCATGCTTATACCCTGAACCTGAGCTGGAGCCTTCAGAGCTGTTGATGATGTTCTTCAAAATCTCAAGCTTCAGGTTTTCTCTCTGGACGCCGCTCTCCGTCTTCGCATTGTTGCTGAAGACTTTCAAGGTGGGGCTCCCGAGCGCTCTCTTGGCCGCAGGACAGACGGGCGGCTTTGCCAGCACCGCTGGCTTCACAGGCTCCTGCTTGGCGTTGATGACCTCCTGGCTCTTGACGTATTTTGCCTTGTCGGCTTCTAGCCTTTCCACCGCGCTCAGTCTTTTTGGATTAGGCTCCGCCTGCCTGCGAAAATAGTCGGGTCCTTTGTTCAGGATGCGGAGAGGAACGGCGGATGTGAAAGTGACGGCAGGGCTGACCGGCTTCACCATGCTACCTGTC